CAGACAGAAAAAGACACTTATCACTTCTATGTGGAATCTTAAAAAGCCAAACTGAGAAAGAGTAGAAAGTGGTTGCCAGGGGCTAAGGGGCAGGGGAAATGAGATGTTGGTGAAGGATGTGTTAACTAGCCTTATTTTGGTAAACAGTTCATAATATATGTGTATCAAATCATCACATTGTACAGCTTAATCTTATACAATGTTAATGTCGTATCTCAAGAAAGCTGGGAAAAAAGAACAGAAAAATCATAATTTCATAATTAAGAGAGTAAAACAGTGCCAAAATATTAACATACTAAAAATAAAATTATAATGTTCTACAAATGTTCTCACTAAAGAAGCAAGGAATTTATATACCCAAAACATATTACTAGATCTTACCAAAGTGAATATATATTGACAATTAAACGATTTAAGCTTCTCGCTAAATGTTACTCTTTGACTGACATTTATTTATCAGCTAACAAAAACCAGTGAGAAGATGGAATTTGGCATATGACTCTCACATACAAGCACATTAACAAGCCTATATCAAGGCTCAATCAAACAGAGCAAATAGTTCTAGAAATTTCCCTTGTGCGTTTTATTCCATTATTAGGAGAATTCAAAGCCTCAGCTCTGCCATATATCCAGCCCAGATGCTCAAAGCACTTGATTTTACCCCAGGGCAAAATTCCATATTCAAGACTAGATCTAGAACAGATGGCCACTCCACCTCTTCTATAATCTGGTTGTGCCCTATGAATAAATGAAAAGACTAAAGGGAACACAGATTCCACAACAGGGCAAGAACAAACATTATTACTATTAATACTACTAATAATATTTATTAAGTACTTTTGTGTGTCTGACACCCTAATAAGCTCTGCATAGAATGAGTCCAGGTGATCACAATGTTACAGGTAGGAACTGTGTATATTCTTTACCTGTGCTCATTAAGGAATATGCACAGCTCTTGCCTTCACAGAGTTTTCAGTCTGAGCCGTGATTAAGTGTCCAGTACTATTCTTGAAGCAGATGTAAAATCAACTCCTCAAGAATTTAATGAGCCCTACTATGTGGGTAAAATGAATGATAGTGTCCCTGACTTCATATTGGCTATAATCTACTTGAAACAAAAAGACAAACACAGAGTTCACAGTCATGTGTTAATTTATATGGACATACCATGATTATTCAGGAAATAAATGATAGCCATACCACCACCACCACCACCACCACCACTACTACTACTAGCTGATACTCAGATAACACGTTAGGTATATCGGGCAGTGCTTGAACTTCATCTATGTTAATGCATTTAAATTCTCACTTCAGGTATGTTCCATTATTACACTCATTCTACATATAGATGGGGAAACTGAGGCACAGATGATTAAGTCACTTGCCTGAGATAAAAGAACTAGAAACTGGCAGAGTAGGGTCCTTTCCTCTTAAACACAGAGTTAAAAAAGAATTCATGGAAGGGGAAGGCACCAAGCTAAAACTGAAGGATTTAGAGCAAAGAGCAGAGAGGGAAGGGCATGTCAAGAGAGAAGAACTTGAGCAAAGGCAAGACTGAACACAACCTGGGTGAAAGCTGGAAAGTAGTGGGGGGAAAAAGATTCCAAACAGGATAAGGTCAAATAATGGAAAGTCTTAAATTTTTAAAAAGGTGGAAGCTTAGCTTTAACACAGTAGTATTTAGGAAGTCACTGATAGTGTCTTGCCTCAGATGGCAACACCTGAGCATTTCTGCCCAGTCCTAGGGCCGTATGTGCGAGGAAGAGAAGGATGATGGTAATCTCATTCCCCAGACCCAAATATCCAGCCTTTGCCAGCGCTTCAGGTTTGACCAACAGTTTGCTTGTGGCTCTTTATTAGATAAATGAATTAAACGGCAGAAGTAATGCCAGTATCAACTACATATTGGCCCTAAAACACAGTGAAGAAAAGCAACTGCCAAATTACTATCTGAAGTCGTAAGTGGTAAAGGGTGTCATTAAATACCAAACTGATAGATACTTTGTTATATAGATTCAATCCATAAAAGCAATTTGGGGCTTTAAGAAAAGTGTTTTAAAAACTGTATTAATGCATAATGTCACCTACTTAGCTTGTTAAATGCAGATTATTGGGCCCCACCACAACCAAGATTTTGATTCAATAAATTTGGGGCCCAGAATTATGCATATTATTTAAATACAATAGAATCTATTGATTTTAATGCAGGCAATCTCAATACCAAACTGAAACAATGTGGAAAAGTTCTAAAAGAGTACTAAAAATACTTTACCCATATATGTCATCATCTCTACTATACAATCTTTAATACATTACTCATATTAAAAAGCCATGAAACCAGGACAATCCTGAATTTATTAAAACATCTACACTCTATCATTTTGGTGAAAATATGAAGGACTAACACGTCACTCTTGAACAATTAGAGTTAGACATTCACTATATCATTAACTATAATTCATATTCTCTGACTTAAAATTTTTATTTTTTAAAAGATAGTTTTTGCTAAGCTACTTTATGTGATGAAGTACACATATTACATTATCACAAAGCTCATGAAATGTCATCAAGTTTATAATAATCAGATATCTAATCATAAAAATCATTTTTCTATTTTAAAAACTGCTAGTTATCAATTCTTCTTTTTAAAAAGGACACTTCAAAGTCTGTTTCAGTAAACCCACCGACTTACAGTCAATCTTTAACAGAGGAGGCAAGAATATACAATGGAGAAAAGACAGTCTCTTCAGCAAGTGGTGTTGGGAAAACTGGACAGCAGCATGTAAATTAATGAAGTTAGAATATTCCCTCACACCATACACAAAAGTAAACTCAAAATGGCTTAACAATTTAAATTTAAGACAAGACACTATAAACCTCCTAGAAGAAAATATAGGCAAAACATTTTCTGACATAAATCTTAGCAATGTTCTCCTAGAGCAGTCTACCCAGGCAACAGAAATAAAAGCAAAAATAAACAAATGGGATCTAATCAAACTTATAAGCTATTGCACAGCAAAGGAAACCACAGGCAAAACAAAACAACAACCTATGGAATGGGAGAAAATATTTGCAAATCATGACAAAGGCTTACTTTCCAGAATATATAAACAGCTCATACAACTTAACAACAAAAAAACAAACAACCCAATCCAAAAATGGGCAGAAGACCTAAACAAGCAATTCTCCAGTGAAGACATACAAATGGCCAATAAGCACATGAAAAAATGCTCAATATTGCTAATTATCAGAGAAATGCAAATCAAAACCAAAATGAAGTATTCATTTACACCAGTCAGAATGGCCATTGTTTAAAAGTCCACTACTGATAAATCCTGGAGAGGCTGTGGAGAAAAGGGAACCCTCCTAGACTTTTGGTGGGAATGCAGTTTGGTGGAGCCACTATGGAAAATAGTATGGAGATTCCTCAAAAAACTGAAAATAGACTTACCATATGATCCAGCAATCCTACTCCTGGGCATGTATCTGGAGGGAACTCAAATTTGAAAAGATACATGTACCCCAATGTTCATAGAAGCACTATTTACAATAGCCTAGACATGGAAGCAACCTAAATATCCACTGACAGAACTGGATAAAGAAGTTGTGGTGTATCTATACAATGGAATACCACTCTGCCATAAAAAATAAAATAATGCCATTTGCAGCAACATGGATGGACCTGGAGAAGATTATTCTAAGTGAAGCCAGGAAGAGAAAGAAAAATACCATATGATATCACTCATGCACAGAATCTAAAAAAAGAAAAAAGAAGGCACTAATGACACTTATCTACAAAACAGAAACAGACTCACAGACATAGTAAACAAACTTACAGTTACCAGGTGGAAAGAGGGTGGGAAGGGATAAACTGGGAGTTTAAGATTTGCAAATACTAACTACTATATATAAAATAGGTAAGGTTTCTTCCATAAAGCACAGAGAACTATATTCAGTATCTTATAGTAACCTACAATGAAAAAGAATATGAAAACAAATAGTGTATGTATATGTATGACTGAAACATTATGCTGTACACCAGAAATTGACACATTGTAATCTGACTATACTTCAATTAAAAAAGACTATTTCAGGACAAACAATATTAGAATTTGAATAAATTTTACAATTATGTATTTCTAATTTTATATCTTGGCTAACAATGCGACAAATAAAACTCTAAGCTGAATATAAAACAAGAAAAAAAGATTTATGAAGGTAAAATCATGTTGTGGAGGCAGAGAATAATTAAATAATCAAATGTTGTCCTTGACTTTAAGGAATTCATCATAGTCTATATATTGGCAACAGATTTGTTTGCTGATGATAATACAAGGCAGAATGGAAGGCACTAAACAGAGATGTAAACCATGCACAGTGGGCTCAAAGTAGTGGTGCAATCATCAGACTCCCAGCCCTCAGTACCTCCTGTCTCTGAAACCAGAACTGCTCCTCTTCCGTTTTTCTGGAAGGGTTAAGGCAGGAATACTGGCCAACTACATGGGGCAGAATTACAGACCAGAGGTCTAAAAATTCCTTATAAAGACCTCCAAATGAAACACCCATTTAGCCTGGTATCCGCCCTTCCCCTACCATCCTCAGCTTTCATGATTCCTTGCGCAGTCTGAGGCCTTCTTGGATTCTTCAGCTGTCAGATAATTTCTAGATGGTACACCCTTTGGAGGCATTTCGGTTTGCCTTCCTTTGTCCTGCTAAATCATTTACCGTTCCTCTATGCATTCCATGTCTTGATAGGGCATAAACTGACGTTAAGAAAAGAATATTAATAATAGAGTGGATAATTTTAAACTCAAGTTATAAAAACAAATCTCTTATAGAGAAATTTTGAACAATGTGGCAAGTAGGGTAGGAGAAGATGCTTTGTGGTTTAGGAAAGCAGAAAGGAACTTCCAAGTACTCCCCATATCTTCTGAAATAGGCCACTGCCTTCATTCCCTGAGGGCAAGTACAAGTTAGTAAAGCGCAAAGATTCAAACCTTCACAAATATGGTGAACTCTTCCACTTTCTCATTGGCTAACAGCAATTTCTTCTGTGCACCTTCGAGGGCCTGCTCACTTTGCATCGCTAATCCTTGGAGATGCTTTGATGCCGCTGTTTCAATTTCTGCCATTGCAGATTCAGCCTCATTTATTTTTGATACGAGAAAAGAAAGCCTGATATCCTGCAAAAGACCAGTAATCATAAAATAAAAAAATATTTCTTAAACAGATTTGAAAGTTAGAGATGTCAGGTAAAGAAAGGGTTTTGTTATTCTATGTCTTGTATTTATTTTTATTTGAGTAAAATTGACAGTTGTTTTTACTTTCAGTGAATATCCTGAGCATATATTCTCATACATTTATCACTAAAATTAGTTTATGCTTTTTAAAAATAATAAATCATTAAAGGCATGGAAGCTATTTTAGAACAAAAGATCTCATATATCAAATGGAAATATTTAATTATTTTATAAGTTTAGGTGGACCTAAACATTTAATTATATCCACTCACATAAATCCCAGTTCTCAACAAGAGTTTTCATTTATTAGAAATTATCAAGGCAAACAAAATGTTCCTCTAATACAGCTCTACCTTTAATAGTAAACGTATTGTTAGCATTTCATGTAGAGATAGAAATATTTTTTGCAGTTATTGGAAACGTTTAAGTAGCCATAGTAGTTTTGAGGAGAAAAGAATGACAACTTTAAAAATAAAAAGACATTGTTACATTCCATCTCTAAGCTAAAATGTCCTAAAACAATACCTTTTTTTCTAACTCCTCTTTAGTTTTCTGATACATCTGTTCATACTGTGACTTCTCTTTCACAGCAACACTAAGTCTTTGCTTTAGTGAATCAATTGATACTTTCTTATTGGAACACTCTTCAGTTAATGTCTTCACCTATAATAAAAGCACAAAGGTACTTATTGGTAAAAACATTCTAGTACTACACAGTATTTGTTTCAACAGAAACCAACTGAATGCATGAATAAATCTAGTTGCATTTATTTTTCTCATAAATAGTACCAAATTCAAGTGTAAGGTTTATAAAACGTATGCAACGAATAAGACTAAATCCCTATGAATCCTTAAATCAACAGCAAAACCCCAAAACTACACAACAGCAGGAATATTGGTATGTGTAGACTTTTACCTAATAATATAATATGAATTTAAACTATATTTCAAATTTTAATCAAGTAGTAGATGGTTGGTTTTGGTTCTTAAATAAGCCAAATAATGGATAACTCTCACTTATATTCCCTAATGAAAGTAAAACATGTACCTTATAGGATAAAATTAAATCAGTAATACAAAATATGTTGAATACATTTCAAAAAATAGCAGAAGAAATAGTTTTTTTCAGTTTAATGTTACTAAAGATATATGATTACTTACATGAACATTCTAAGACTGTATCTGAAATGAGTATAGGAGTTAAAAAATGAGCAAAATTTAAAGGACAGCATTGAAAAAAACCTATAGGAAGTACTTATAATTCATGTGAATGTATGCAGGAGAAAGAAAGAAAATCTATGCATTTGTCTTGCGTATGAAAATTTCCTCTCTTAAACCCATTTGAGCACTACTTATATTTTTATCTCCAATAAGGAAAGTAAGGGAGATGCTCTCTCTGGAGTGGGTGACATTTAGTGAATGCCAAAGCACAAGTTGCTTTATGAGTTGTGTAAATAACACCTTTTAAAATTTTTAAAGAAAAAAACCTCTTAGTCAGCAAATTGCTGATTTCTACTTTGGGGTCAGATATTGTACAACTGTTTTAAATATGACTCTTTTTGTAAGTACACTGAATTAAGTGTATACAAGGGGAAAATACACTTCAAAAACACTGTGTGGGGGAGCGTATAGCTTGAAGTGGTAGAGTGCATGCTTAGCATACACAAGGTCCTGGCTTCAATCCCCAGCACTTCCTCTTAAAAAAAAAAGTAAACAAATAAGTAAACCTAATTACCTCCCTCCCCCCCCCAAAATTAAACAAAATTGTGGTGAGAACACATTTCAAGGGACTTCTGAAATTATTATCATATTTCTCATTTAAAATATACACTCCATTCTATCAATATAAACAGTTTTAAATGAAAGAAAATGCTAAATAAAATGGAATTATATATCCAAGAAATGTTGAAAATTTTTAAGATTAAACTTGATTATTTTCTCACAGTATATTTACAAATATAAAGAGAATGTATGGCTATATTATATATGAGATTTTGAAGTCTTGAATTTTAAAATAATGTACTTTAAGAGCAAATGATGTCATTATATAACAACATACATATTTTATGAATATTTGCTATAAATTTTATTAAGATTGAATATTTGAGTTAAGAAAGTAAATACAAGGGGATATTACTTTTTAGTGTCAGTGAATGCAAAAATTGATACCTTTTTTTCAAGATTTTCTAGCATTTCATTAATACTCTCATTACTTTCCAAATTTACTTTCTGTCGAAATTTCAAGTCTTCTATCAAATGCCTTTTCATGGTTATATCTCTCTCCATTCGAGACATCCTTGAAAGGGAAGAAAAGCATTTTATCAAGAGTGATAGAAAATAGCTTAACATATTATCCAGTGTTACACCTAGTGTTAATTTTTAAATGCTACTTGATATTAATAAAATTGCAAATTAATAAAATAATTGTATGGGATAAAATATTGCTCTATAATATTTTGAGTACTCATAAAATTTATAATCCAATTATGACTTGGTAATTAGAATATAATACATATATGCATTAAAACATTAAAAAATGGCTGAACTGAGAAAGATTAATAAAATTTATGAAAACAAAATTATTATATATTTTTGTTAACATTCTTGCATTGCTAAGGAAAACCAAAGTGATATTTAGACATTATCAAAAAGCATAATACTGATAAGAAACAATTCTAATATTTAATAAACACAAAATCTAATAATATCATGTAAAGACACTAAAATTAGGCATGTTATGTTCTAATTTAACATCATATGAAGTAGAATTGACATATCAGTTTAGCTTAAGTTGACAACATTAAGTATACAATGGTAGATGCAATAACAACTATTACTACTATAATAAGAATAACAATAGCTACGTTTATTGAGTGCTTACTATGTGCCAGTCACAGTTGTAACTTCTTTACATGTACTAACTCATTTAATCTTAAGAACTTTATGAGTTAATTCTATTAAATTGAGGCACAGAGCAAGCAGGTAAAGGATTCAAAGAATGTTTCTCTAGAGTCCTCACTAGCAAACAGTGAGCAAAACTACCTTCTTTATCTATAAATAGGCTTAATGATATGCTGCTTAAAAATGAACCAACCTTTTCTGTCTAATAGTTTTATCTATTAATACCACTTTAAAGTGACCTTCAATTCTAATGTTGTATACATGTATTTGTACAAAATATAAGTAACACAAATTATGAATTACTAGAATTCTTTCTAAACTTGTTATCACCTCCAAGCTCTAGAACATCCATAAAAAATATAGAAAGGAAATAATTTTGATTTTATAAGATACATTTTTAACCTCTTTTCAGTATAAACACATAAAGTACAAACTTTCATAACCCTATTGTTACTTTAAATACAAATACTTTAACCACCTTAGCTTTATAAGCTTAAGCATTAAGCCCAATATAAAGATCAATCTATACGTATATTTTTAGTCAAATAATTACCATATTCTAAAGTTTTTTGTTCATAGTCTTTAGGTTATTAACTGATACTTATTCAAAAGTAAATATGTTTAAGGAAAAAAATCTGACTGTAAACATTCTTACTCTATGTAAAAAATAGTAACTATCTTGCCACCAACCATGCTATGTGTAATATTCCGTAAGCTTTCATCTTACGTAGCCTTAAACATGAACTAAGGAAGTGAAACTTAATTTTTAACGTGTTGGTATTGTTTCTTGGGTGCAATGTTTAATAGAGTACTAGTTGCCACTAGGTGGCACCAAATACAATGGATAAAAATACAAAGCACATACTTTTCATGCATTTCCTTTATGTGTTCTTCTTTTGCTAGGAGTTCAAATTTCAGAGACTTCAAGTTTGATGATTGTTTAGTGAGTTCATTAGTTGCATTCTAGATTAAAAATACACATAAATTCAAATGTATCTCTTAATCTTATTCTAAAGCACAAATACAAATGCCATTCTCATGAAGAGTAACAAAATTGCAATAATTATAATTAAAATAAACATGTAAACATTTTAAGATGCTTCATTTTGTATTTTCTAATAGAAATATCATGACACACTAAAATTTTTATATAAGATGCCAAAATCATGGAGGAACAGAATCATATAACAATTGCAGGGCGCCTACCCAAAGTACATTTATGGGAAATATGGATTGTATTTTTGTAAATGTAAATGTGCATGTAATTTGTAAAATGTAAATGTGCATGTGATTATTTTAATGGTTTAATAAGATCACTTGAAATGAATTCTAGATTTACTAATAACCTATAACAGACTAAGTATGGTCACAAATGCTTTGCTGTTTCTCCCATCAAGAGGCGGAATCCATCTCCTAACCCTTTGAGTATGCTCTGGCCTATGATTTGCTTTAACCCAAAGTATGTGGCAGAAATGACATTGTGCAAGTATCAGATCCAGAGCCTAAATCCCTGTAGCTTGCACCTTGCCCTCTTGGAATGCTGCTCTCGGATTACCTTCCAACAAATACTAAAGCCATTTGGGGGAGTACTGAGGTACCCTAGATGACAGCCAGCAGAACAATTACCAGTCTGGGAGTAAGGCGGTCTTGGAACTTTCAGCCCAGGTAAATCTTCAGTTTAGAAGACTACAGGCATATGGGGAAACCCAGCAGATAGCAGCAAAAGAACTATCTACAGAACCCACTGGATCATAAGAAATAATAAATTATATAATAATAATAAATTGTTTTAAGCTGCTAATTTTAGGATAATTTGTTAGACACTAATAGACAACCGAATAGAGAATCTTATGAATGCTAAATACTTCCTTACTTGAATTTCTTAATAATACTAGTTATTAAAGTATTTATACATAAATTATTTTTCAAAGCAGAACAGCTCTGTGGTATTTGTTGTCTATACAGCCTAGGAGTCAGAGGTAGTAACTAGAGTGTTAGGAACTCCAAACTTTCAATTTTGACTCAAGTTCCAAGTAAACATGTGATCTGAGACATCATTTGATATTTTGGTTTTTCTACCTGTAAGACAGTGTCAAAATACATTAATTCATTTATTAAATTTAAAAAGTATCAAACTAATATAAGTAGAATGAAATACAAGTTTTAAAATATTTGGAGCAGTTATTCTGCTAATTTTTCTAATAACTATAATCAATTGTTTCAATTAGAACTATTCCAGGTTTGACTGACTTCTGCTAAAAAATATAAATCTGAGAAGATGAAACCATTAATCACACAATGTAAATATGAGTCAAATTCATTAGACAGACTTTAAACATCTCATTAGTATAGCATATGTAAATTAAAAATTCACATTAAATATGATACTAATTTTCTTAAAAACCCAAAGCTACCTCAACATGGCAGCTGTGTTGAATGTTAAAGGTTTTGATTAAATGTTTGTGTAATGCAATCTAAATTTCCACCATATTTTATGAGTTTACAGTGAGGTATGGTATCTTATTTCTAGCCTTTTGAGAGTAAGATGTTCCACACTAGGAAATTTATAATTGAAGCTTTTGCTTTAATCATTAATCTTAAATTCTTTCTGGAATGATTGTTCATTCATTTAGAAATATACTAATCCACGATTATATTAAGCTAATAGTGAATTTTTAATAGTTATATTATATTGTAAATATTACTATATTAATTATATTACTGTATCTATTATAATATCATTGTATCATTATATAGTGATGCCTTTAAGAACTATTATGATACAAATGGCTCCTCAGCCCTACTCTAAACGGTCCCAGACTGCTGTTTTTCTAATTTTGCATTTTTACCTTAACATTTTTATATTTCCCTTTTCTCTCTGTCAATCTGTTGATCATCGTTTCTTGCTTCTGTCAATATTTCAGCCTAAAAACAATCCCCCTGTCTCTTAATATGCACTTCTAATTTACTGCTTTTGAGGTGTTTTCTGCTGAGAAGTTAAACAAACTCATTAGAGCTATATTTAAAATAAAAGACAACAGGCAGTAAATGAAGGCTGACAATAATTTTCAATAGAATACATTGAGTGGATTTTAAGAGAGCTCTTTGATTCTTTTCTGTTTTTAGACTTAGGCCAGTTATTTTAGTTGGCTGGAAAATGCTGTACCTCTGACTTCTAGATAATTGAGAGATTACAGAATTATAATAAATAAAACAATGCCAGCTTGATACATACTTTTGCCAGACTCTTTAAATCTCATAGCTATTTTGTTTAATCCCCCAAAAACCGTTTGAAGTGTATAGAAAGGTATCCCTGTTTCAAACCTCTGGAGAAGGTAAGTAATTCCCTCAATCAGGTCCCACAAGAAGCGAATGCACAAAGAATGATCAAAACTCAGGTCCTCTGACCCTTTTCCATCTCCTACAATACAGTACTTATCTGAAGCATGACAAAATCTGGAGTAAAACGCATATTACAAAGATGTCATAATGTAAGAATCCAACTTGGTTAGAACTTTCCTACATAAGTTTATTAATTTAAAAAATTTTTATAGCATAATGAGTAAAAGCGTGGACTCTGGAGTCATATGGCTTACATTCTAATCTCAGCTCCATCACTTAGTAGCTGTGTGACTGTGGACAATTAATGTATTCATTCTGTGTCTCAGTTTTCTTAAGTGTAAAGATAGAGATCACCTAACCTATATATCTAACAGGGTTAAAACATTTTTAAAGGATTTAGAGTCAGAGTGGCAATAGATTATACATAGAGTAACAGTAGCTTGAAAAGTACTATTCTTCCTTATTAACTTACTGGACAACCGAAAGAGACCATGGTATATACCGAAAGGAATGCTTTCAACAATTAGGGCGTCAAAAAAAAATCACAAAAATAGATTGGAGTACAATTCAATCCAGATTGTATAAAGAAATACAAATTAAATTAAATACAAATAACTGATGTATGTATCATTCACTGGAAGGAATTTACGTCTCTAAGTATTTTATTATCTAACTATATATAATTGCGTGCCTTGATAAAACATGTCTTAAGTAAAAATGAAGATCAGAAAATGCACATAAAAAATTAATGGAAAAAAATTTAATGGAGAGGGATATAGTTCAGTGGTAGAGAGCATGCATGCTTAGCATGCATGAGGTCCTAGGTTCAATCCCCAGTACCTCCATTAAAAAAATTTTTTTTAATTCTTTAAGAGAAAAGAAAACATACATGAGCACTCTAATTTCTGAATGAACCATATATATCTGAGAATACACTGAAAAAATTACATAGAAAAGTCTAATATTAATCAGATAAAATTAAAAAAAGATGTATGTAGACCTTTAACAGATTAAAACATAACCAGTTTTTCTTAATCAGGCATAAAAAACATCAAGTAGACAGTACATTATTTCTTGGAAAATCATTATGTTAGCAATTTGACATCTGCTACAGACTGAATTGTATCCCAGCAAAATTCATATGTTGAAATCCTAAGCCTCCCACCTCTGATACTTCAAAATACGATTGTATTTGGATAGGGCTTTTAAGGAGGTAACTAAGGTAAAATGAGGTCACTTGGGTGGGCCTTTATCCAATATAACTGGTGTCCTTTTAAGGGGAGGAGATTAGGATACAGACCACACAAGACTGAGGATGACCATGTGAGCAAGAAGGTGGCCAGTCGTAAGCCAAGGAGAGGTGCCTCAGGAGAAATCAAACCTGTTGATACTTTGGTCTTGGACTTCTAGACTCCAGAACAATGGGAAAATAAATTGCTATCATTCAAGCCACCCACTCAGTGGTATTTTGTTATGGTAGCCCTCACAAATGAACACAATTATCAAAACAGAAATTTGTAGCATTAGAGAGTATTATGTGCTTAAAAGTACCTGGTCTTCCAGAATATTTCCACATTAAATATGAAATAAGACCAAAGTAAAGACTTATTCCTTTTTGTCCCCACATACCCTGGTGAGCATTCCAGGACTCCAGGTTAGATATGGACAATGTCACTTCAAACTTACATCAAGTGTGATCTAAATTGCTTTAGACTAAATTCTCATTATTTCACCCTTGTGACTCACACATTCCTTCAAAGTGAGAGAGATTTATATATGGTCAAAAACTTACACCATGGGATGCCACAATGCAAAAAAGCTTACAGATATCTATATGGGCCTATTATTACTAAAATTTATGTTAGTGTATTAGTAGTAAGTGAAACCAAATAAATAAAATAAAAATCAACTTATAACTATCAGCAATTGAAAAATTTATAAGTCAGATTAGACACTGCTGAATCTAACATTCTATTTTATCTTGGGGAAAATAAAAGTTATATTAGGGCCACAAACACTTGTATATAAGAAGAATCACAGAACTGTGACTACAAGTCTCTGTAGCATATAAGATCAAAGAATATCTCAATAATTTTATCCTCCATATAAAACCTAAACATTGAAATGTTCAGTTTATACATTTTATTCCACTTTTTCAGAAACAGGAACACAATTTAGGAGAAGATATACAGCGCCAAACTTGCACAACTATTTTTTCTCACATTTCTATTTTGTAAGGTATTTCAACTTATAAAATGTAGTTCTTGAGACAAGTTGTACATATAAAACCCTCTGAAGAAGATGGTATTTCAGAAGCATCTAAATTAATGCCAATGGGTATATCTGATTATTATTAATAAAGCAAAATACTTTCAAGCAATAATACATGAATTTACTTTAAACTTTATCCTAGTTTATCCTATTAGTAATCCTTCACTTAAAGATGTTATCATTGAAGAGCACAGATATAATATTTAAAATAAAAATAACAAAGTCTATTTGACGATTCTATATTCTAATACCTTCTTAACAGTCATGGTTATTCCATTGCTAATGTATTCCGTGCATTTTCAACCAGAATTTTCTTTCCAGTGACTCTCATTATACCTATGGTCCCACATACACTGACTTTTTAGCTTCCAGCTAGCAATCCCCACTGAAGAAAATAATTAATATGTATGGAACAAATGAGCTTGTTTTAAGAAGCATGAAAATGAACTTTCCAAATAAAACTCACAAATCCCTTTTCTTACAAGATAATTCTATTTAACCTAAGGCCAGCCTTACTTTTTAAGTTGTTAAGTTTGAAGTCCAGTTTCACCTGGACTTAGACACAATTCTTCATACACAAAGGAAAACTGCCTTTTTTTCTCACTCTCAGGTTTAACCTGCTGAAATCTATTAAACCAACCTATCTTTGCTCTGTGCTTCCTCTCCCTCCCTCCACCTTCCTCCTCCTTCCCCATCTCCAGCCAAGAATCATCAAATTAAAATAGTAGCAAGTGTACAGGAAAGCACTTCTGTTTATGTTGATAGATTACACATTCAAAAGGAATTCTGGAGGGCAGAGAGGAGTGAATAGTGGAGAAGAATGACAATAGCCAGTTTCTATCATCTGTGTTAGGATTTCATGGTGTCTTGTCAATTTTTTCAGAGAAAAGAATTATGAGTTACCAGATAAGAATCTACCAGGCTAAAATAGAAAGATGAGGTCGAATGCAGCATTAATAATTTGGGGGTTATTTATACCATAGTTTACCTTTACTAGTATAATTAAATTAGAATTGATAAAAATATGTCTTTTAAGGATTCAGTAACCTAATATATGTTTTCATTAATAAAATTTATAATCACCTTTAGTTTACACTGCAATTGCTTCATTTCCAAATCCATGCTCCTTGAAGGGCCAAGTGATGTAACTTGTATCCGTGGAATTGCCAGCCGGGTAACGTCTTCAGTCAAACTTGTGATTTCAGATGAGGACTCCAATTTCTTTAGTAAGTCTTCTTTTTCTTTCCTAAGCTCAGCCAAATCCAAATTTAGCTTCTTTTTTTTAAAAGAAAATATAAACATATTATAAAAGCAAGTACACTTAACCTAACAATTATCAGTATCAAATTTGATGCGTACAAAAATGCTGAAGAAAAAAGTGACATGGGGGGGGAGTGTATAGCTCAGTGGCAGAGTGCATGCTTTGCATGCACAAAGTCCTAGGTGCAATCCCCACTACCTCCATTAAAAAAATAAATAAATAAACCTAATTACCTCCCCTCTCAAAAAAAAAATGACAAATAAAAGATATTATCTTAAAGAAAAAGTGAAATTAGTTATAAAAATAGTTATTATAAAAACTTTACATAAATTACAATGTCAACTAATTTTTGCTTAAGGTTGTAGGGCTTGTAAAGGTTAAAACAAAACAGACCAGCTGTACTCAATATCCTTTGGTTGGCTGATCTTTCCTCATGATGTGCCATTTCTCTGCCTTCCCATGAACATGGGTGTGCCAGAGATTCACATATTTGATAACCTTGACTTCAGGGCTGATGTACTTAACTGGTAAAAGCTAAGCTGGAGCAGGATGGGATAACAGATGTTTAGTTGTTTATTCCATTGGGTAGATCTTACCACCCTATGTAGCAGCCAAAATCCTTCTCATTTAGCAACATAAATGTTAAGTCCAATTAGCAGAAGAGGCTTATTAGAGATTTAGTTCAAACAAATAGCATACAAACAAACTTGCTCAGTTTGATGCACTTGATTGATAGTTGACAAGTCCTCTTTGTAATGCTAAGGTAGATTGCACTAAACTCCTTAGATTTGAATTTTTAATATCATAAAACATTTTACTAAATGACATACTAGTGTTGTTTTTATGAAACAATGTAAAAGAAATTGTCTTATGTTAGCCCCTCTTATTCACCAATCTGTAGTCAGCAGAATGCCACCAAGCTGTAACGGCATAACAACTTAGAGATCCTTAAGAGGATACCTGCACTACTATTTTATTATTCCAAAGAAGCTTATAATATGGCAGTTGAACATAAGGAACAATTAGACAAAATGGTACTGAAGTCTCTCAGAGGAGGAAAAAATCTTTCTTTGTTAAGTCTAATTAAAACAGTAAAAGAGGTAGCTAACATGTACAGTAATATAAAAATGGGACATAAGTTACCTACGTATTAACAGTATATTTAAACACAATATCTAAGAAGTATACCAGTAAATATATAACTACATATGTATACATATGTATACACATGTGTATACTGTTACATATGTATAGGTCATGATTTCAAAACTAGGGCTTAATATATTTGAGATTAAACTAGGTGTTGGTGAAATAAAAAGTATGCTTTGGAAAAAAAAAACCCTATTTAATTTGCTATATTTTAACTTACGATCTAAAGTGTGTTTTTTTAAGATATTCAGGAAGTATTCACTCATGAACTGTCCCAATGGCATCAAATAATTAACATCTAAAAGCAAACTCATAATTTTCCTAAACCTGAAAATCTTCCTGGTTATCATCCAAGCTTGAATCAATCTCCCTCCCTGTTTATTAATTCTCTATGTCCAAACAATTGTCAGGTTCTCTACATTATATAATGTTCCTCATATTCATTCCCTCTGACACTTTCTTAATAAAGACTCTCATTATCCCACTAAGACCACTGCATCAGCCCTTCCCCTCCCAGCAACCATCAAACCATCTTTGTACCTTCAAAATATTTTTTATACAACTTTCCAAAACAACACTGACCTGTTATTCTCTTATTCAAAATCCTTCAGGGGTTCCCCAGCCCAGTAGAATAAAGCTCAGATATTTGTGGTAATAATAAATCTCTGTAAGGTTTAGCTTCAGTTCATGTTTCAGTCAGACATCACCTGCAGTCAAACTTGCCTGCCATTCCCCCCATCTGTTAGCCATTTCTACATTGATGACTCTACACATGGTGTTTCCTTCTGCTGAAATCTCTCTCATGCTTTAAGAGCAGCTTAGTATTTCCTTCTTTTGAAGACTTCTCTGCTATTTTCTTCTCTTTTCCTTCAACCAAGTGGCTTCCCCATTGTCTTAGCTCCCATAGCACTGTGCCTGTTCTTCAACCAGAAACCTTAGTAAATCCTTGAGAGAGGACAGTTTCTTTGTTCATCTATGTATCTGCCCACTCATGGTATCTAAAAACTATGCCTTCTGTATAGTAAGAATCAGAAGAAAGGTTTCAAAAATTCAAGTCCCCCTATTTGTAGCACAGATAGCGCTATAAAGACACATCAAATTTCAGCTTATATTTATAATCTTCCTATTATTTTATTTCTATGTAAATTAAAACACACATTTATTAGCAATATTATCATTAGCTTTAACTTAAATAGTACGCACCAGAATATTTATCAGTCCTAAAGTTATTGCTCTGCATCTAATTTAGACTTTTTGAGATTTCAATTTGGTAAGACATTAAGACATGACTACAATTCTAGGTGTAATCTCAGGCAACACAGAAGACTAAATTTTGATGAGGTGCTTTTCTTTCTATGAACAGCCTGGTGGCTTCTCTCATTTGTAAACCCGTGTGCCATTAGTTCTATTCTTTCCACGGTGGCAGATCCTGACACTATAAATATATCATTCATTGCAGAAAGACCAAGCCAATAAATGTATTTCTCTAAAAACTATGTATATGTAGATTTTAACTTCAATTTAACAGTATAAAAATTTAGTAAATGAAGAAATGCTGAAATTATGGAGACAGTAACTCAAATGACTTATTTATTAAATAAGTAATTTATTAAAATATAAATTGTGCCTTGATTAAACTATTTTAAATCCACAGTCTTTAAAACATATTTCTAATGTTAATTATACATGCCTAGAAATGCTACAGAGCGCCTGCTGAAATAAAAGTAATAGGAAAATCATATATCTCATCAGTTTGGAATCCTTTGATTGTCCCTTAGAATTTTGGACAAGTAGTTATGGCTCTATTACTAACTTCTCTCAGTTTAAGCACTCTGTTTCTTATTTCAGGAATTTTATAGATGAGACAAGAAGCATAAACAATTTCTTTTGTTTTTACTTGGTTTGGAATGTGAGACTTTTGTTGTGACCTTGTTAGAAAGGGATTGTGCTATAAAATCTACCAATAAATTAAGATAACTCTTAAAATAGTTTTTTTAATCAGAAGCATGATTCCTATTTCTATATTACCTTTTCAACTCCAATCAAAGATTTTAAAACATTTAAGTCACATTACATTAAAACCATAAATAATATAAAACACATGAAAGAGTCATAATTTCTGGATTCTTATTTGGAGTCTACTGTTTACCAGATGAGTGACACTGAGCAAACTCTTGACTTTGTTTCTCTATTTAAAAACAGAGATGATGGTTGTTTACCTAGCAAAGGTAGTTTTGAGGGCAGAATTTTAAAAAAAATCTATGTAGCACTTGGTAAATTTTAGATTTACAGCATTATTGTTAGCATATCTTGTGGCAAATGCTACATACAGTCAAGAACTGTCTTAAAGGCTGAGGATCTGAATTAATAAAAAACTTCATTATATACACACACACACGTACATAAACACACAATATACACATACCAAATAATCCTATAGTTTCTCTCACGACAGAAACCTTACATTATCTTCAGTGAGAGTTATTTGTTTGATCTTAATTTAGGATTCCCTACTAGGCTACAAGCTCATTGAAGGCAGATGTATTATTCTGATTCTTTATTTCCCCAGCAGTGCAATCCCTCTACAATCTTTTAAAAGTCTATTTCAATTTAAAAGTTGACATCAATGAGAATAAGTACTGAGATCTGTATTGATTTATGTGTAGTCAATTACTCTAACCAAAGGTTATAAAATAGAACTTAACACTATAAAAGTTTAAAATGAGACACTAGTTATTATTTATTTAAATATAACATTGAAGAAGTACAAGTCTCTAAAAAGGAAAGAAGCCTCCAAGCAACTGTAAGAAGAAACAAGAATATATTACCAGATTCGTTCTTCAGGAATGAGCACTGTGGCAGGCAGAATTCTCAGATGATCCCCAATGGCCCATGCCCTGTATGTGAGTGGGACCTGTGAATGTGATAGGCTCCAACTGCCATGACTGTGCTATTTGCAATGTTATGTGCAAAAGGGATTCTGTTGATGTAAATCATGGTTCCCTAATCACTTGACTTTGAGTGAATCAAAAGCAAGATTATCCTCGATGGTCCTGACTCATCAGGTGAGTCCTTTAAAAGAAGGCCAGAGAGATTCTCCTGCTGGCCATGTTATGATAGGACTATGGAGAAAGCTACAAGGTGAGGACCTAAGGAAGACCTCAGGAGCTGAGAATGGCCCTTGAGCAAGAAAGCAGGGACTTCAGTCCTGCAACCACAAGGAACTGAATTTTTCCAACAAACTCATGAGCTTGGAAGAAAAGCCTGAACTGCAGAAAGGCAGCTTGGCTGACACACGGATTGCAGCCTTCTGATGCTCTGCGTAGAGGACTCCACTAAGCTGTGCCAGGCTCCTGACTGGGGAAACTGTGAGGTAATGAGTGTGAATGTTGTCTCTAAGCTGCTAAATTTGTGGTAATTGGTTATATACCACAGAAGACTGAGTCCCAATTTTTAAAAAATCATTCCCTGTCTTAAACCTATTCCTTTCCCCCTATTGCCACATTGCCACCCCTTAAACAATTGTCCTGAACTCCACACTATATAGTTTATATAATATCCTCCCCTCTGGTTTTTCTTTCCTCACCCATAATTTTGTGCTCACTTCTTCAACTACTTAAAAAAAGTTCAATTTTCTGTCCTAGAAATACAAATTGCCTCTTCCAGATCTGCATTTTGTAGTCTAATTGCCAAGCAAAGTCTCTGGCCAGAAGCTTCCTTTTGCTGCTCTCAAGAGTAATCCTACGAATGGGGTGGATAAGCCTCTCCTGATGTACTCTCCTTTATTCTGTTGTATAGGAGTTCTTTCATGAACGCCTTTTATTCTGAGCTCAAACTTGATGTTTTCTGAAAGATTTTGATCAGG